CGAAAGATTCGCATCGCATACAGTCCAGAGTTTTGTTTTACTTGGTATGAATATTCAGCTTATACATAAGTTGAATATATCTCCTATATCGGTTTATCTACAGTTGTGTGCTATCTAAAGGAAAGTAGTATGCAGTCAGTCAGTCAGTTAGTCAGTCAACCAGTCAGTGGTTTTACCACAAAATCATGTACGTAAATGCAATTTTCCAATGAAAACCGTCTGAAACTGCCGTATCCTTTTGTGTTTATCGCGCAAAACAAGCATTAATGCTCACATTGTTTTCGCTCTCCTCTGTTGTGCATTTGTTGTAGATATGTAATAGTTATTTATTGCTTTACTTTTTGCGCATTTTCAGCTTTCTTCATGCTTTTTTCATGCTTTTTCCAAAAAAAATCCATATATGGTCATTTTGTTCAGACGGATGTTGCGATTGGCGATTGGCGATTGGACATTCGATTTTTGTTACTTTCACTTTTGAGCCTCTCCATTATTTGCCATTGTTTGTGCGTAGCTTGCGTGCCTCGGTTGGCGGTTAAATAGGGGGCTCTTCCTTTTTGGTCCGCTTGTGTTTTTATGAGCGTGAATTTTTTATTGCTCCGGCAATGTTTTTTTGTTTATTTATGTGGTTTACTGACATCATTAAAAATACAACTCAAACTGGAGAAACTTGAACATGAACTTTTTTATGGCACACAGGCGATCCTGACCTCGCTTGGCCATACACACATTCAAGCATATCTACAACCCTGCAGGGAAAATGTAGTTTGGTATGCGAAAATTCTAGTTCAAGTCCGGTATTTTGAATACGAAGTCATCAGTTGGGTATTGGTACGCCACGGTTCGAGTCTCGTTGAAGAGAAAATTATATTTGCTCTCATTTCTTTGTGTGGTGAAGCAGAACTTCCACATTTCTAATGCAAGATAAGTCCTCTCTCGACAAACAAATACCAAACTCTAGAGGTCGTTCATCATTGAACACAAGATCTGATAAGTCGGCGTTAGTACTTTTCGAGGTGGAAGATTTAGCGTAAGATTTATGGTCCTCTGCACTTTGTGGGCAGCGAATACCGCAGCCGATGTAACGATGAACTGTAGGAGATTACGGTGCCATTGGCATAGTTCGGGGAATCAGGAATCACTTGCTGCGCTAGCTGGAACATGTGCTCCGGTTGGAGAAGAATACTCCAGCTTTGTATTTTTTCGAAGCAGAGTAAGAAGCAGAAGACCTCCACTTCGTTTGTAAGACCAGCTGGAAAGCAACCTAGCTATACTTGGTGTTTCCAAGTGATGTCAAAGAAAGGAGGGAATGAATGGAGCACTGTTGTTGACTAGGATATTATCGTAAGCAATGTCTACGTCGATAAAGAAATATGAGAATAAATTCAATATGTCTAAATAAACTAGTATTTACCTAGTATGAAACTGATGCATAGTCGGACAATTAACAGCTGGCGATATCCTGCCATGCAACATTTTTCAATTCTAGTTAACAACTATTACTTTTCCTGCAGGGATGTATACATATATGTATGAACTAGTGGCGTACATATGTAATCAATTAAAGTATCCATTATTTGCGGGTGAAGGGATTCCAATATATCATTGGTATTTATTAGTTATTTATTACTGTTGGTGGAGATCAGAGCTATTCATCAAACAAATGGGTGGCGCTGAGATGAATTTATTGTATTTTTTTATTTAATATTTTTGATAAAACTGGAGTAAAAGTCAGTTACAAGGCAGATGAACAGAGATACAGTACTCCAAAAGTCCCACAAAACGGGCGTCGGCTTGGAGAGAAAGGAAAGAGATAACCATTCTTCGTCCCCCGGCTTATGCGGCGCTAGTCTCGGGCGGTTCTAGGATCGGTTGGATACACCCCTTCTCTACTATACTTGGAACTATGAGTAGTCTGAGAAAGAAAGAAAACCAAAGTCATTAACGACAACAAAAGATTACCGGCAATTAGAAAAAAAAATCCGGCCGAGCAGAAGCTCAAAAACTCAGGAGCAGTGCGAAGCAGGGTCCTTCAATGAAAGCGGAGGGTTAATGATGCGATCGGACCCATCGTAACCGCCGAATATTACACGCAAAGATTCTTGAAAATTCGCATTTATCGAGGTTGTGAGAATCTAAGTAAGTTGATGATTTCAATTGCAGCCAGCGAATAATCTGCAAAAGGTCAGGAAAAGGAACGTATTGGCTGTAGTCTCAGTGAACAAGTCCAAAATGGTATCAGAGCTATCGGTTTAGCTTATGTCTTTATTCTCTTACTTGAGCAATAAACTCTGATATCACATTTATCTTAAAATAGCAGAGAAACATCAACTTTCGATGGTTATTATTTCACAATACACACACACATATATATATTTAAAATTTTCAACTTTTTTTTCTTCAAGGTCACGGCAAAATACCCCTCGCTCTCCGACATAAACTACTCAATCAATATTCCAGCCGGTCTTGCTTATTTATGATTCCAACTCGTCCTTAAAGCGACCAGTTAAAAGTTGGTATGAGTTTACTGTCTCAGCCATTTTAATTCAGTTTCTTAATTTTTGCTCAATTTATAGTTGATATAAAGTTTATCAATTTTTCTATTCTTTATTGCCCACTGAGCTCAGGGGGAGCTTCATTTAAAGTTTATCCTATGTCTCTGCCTAAAAGGCTAAGTGAAGCGAAAGCAATTCGCAAGAAACTTTGTCTGCAAGTGAAGGCAGTCAAGAGCAATAATTTTGGGTCATTAGTATAATTTTTTTCTTTCTCCTACAGTACCCCTTGCTGTTGGTTAGAAACTTTTCGAAGCACAAAATAATATATACTATATGTTTACAGCTTGAACCTTACTTTAGATATATTTATATAAATATATATATACTCGTGTTTAATATGTAAAGAAAGCAAGCGGCTGGTGTAACGGTAATTAAACGAAAGATAGAGTGCAATGAAATATTATCATGGTGGAAATTTTTAAATTGATTAGTTATATATATTTGTATGATAACATTTATTTCGTTTAAAATAATTTACTTTTACCTTTCTACAATTAATTAAAAATAATTATTTATATTATTTCATTTTTTTTAATTTAATTTATTTATTATTATTATATATTTTAGTTTTATTTCATTTTACTACATTTTATGTTATATTATTTTAATTCATTTTTTTATATTTAATTATATTTAATTTTATTTATTTTTATTTTACTTTATTTTGTTTCCTGTTATATTATATTATTTTTCTTCATATTGATTTAATTTATTTTGCTTCACTTAATTTAACTTAATTTTAATATAATATAAAATATATATATAAAAGAAAATTACTAAAAAAAAACAATTTAAAATTAAATCAAAAAAATTAGGTAAATTAATAAAAAAAATTAACTTACCTCATTTTTTTAATTTAATTTTAAATTGTTGATTTTTTGTTATGTAATTTTCTTTTATATATTGAATTTATTTCAATTTAATTTAGTTTTGTTTTATTTTATATGAATTAATCATTTATTTTTTTTTTCTTAATTTAATGAGATTTCATTTACTAAATTATATTTTAACTTATGCTATTATATTTTATATTAGGTTTTTTTTATTTATTTATTTTTTTCAATTAATTTAGTTTTATTATATTTCTTTTTGTTTGTCTTAGTTTTAGTTTAATAATAATTTTTATTTTTCTAATTCATTTTAATTTAATTTTACTTTAGTTTATTTTGTTTTATTTTATTTAATATTTTATTATTTAGCATTATTTTGACATGATTTGTTATATATTATATAATTTAAATTAATTTTATCTTAAGATTATTTGTTATTTTTTATTTTTTAATTTTATTTAAATTGTTTTTAATTATTCAATTTAATTTAATTTAATTTATATACATCAATTTAATTTGATTTGACTATTTTTTATATTATTTTATTTTTTTATTCATTCTAACTTTATTTTAATTTAATATATTAAATTATTTGAATTCGTTTAATAATTTGAATTCAAGTTTACTTTATTTTATTCTATGTGATATTTTATTTTATATATTTTATAGTTTTATCTCTAACCTTTTTTGTAATTTTTATTTTTTATTTCTTTTGTAATTATTTAATTTTTTTAGTTAAGATGTTTTATTTTAATGAATTTATATACATTATGTTAATTTAATTTTATTTTGTCTTATATTAATTTATTTATAATTCTTTTATTTTTCTTTATGTAATTTTATTTGCTTTCACTTTATTTTAATTTAATATATTTTTAACTGTTTTAATTTATTTGAATTTAATTTTACTTTACTTTATTTCATTTTATTTTATTTTAATAAGCTAAATTTTATTTCCAATTATATCATTTCACATTGTTTGATATATTGTATTTTTATTAATTTAATTTAAATTTATTTTATCTTAAAATCTTTTTGTTATTTTTTAAAAACTTTTATTTTTTAAACCCTTTCATTGAATTTTATTTTATTTAGATACCTTATTTTAATTAATTTTTATATTTTATTTTATTTTAAGTTATTTGTTATTCCTTCAATTAATTTTGTTTGAATTAATTTAATTTTTATTTAATATACCTTTTTTATTATTTTATTTCATTTTCTCCACCTTATTTCGAGTTACTTGTTTTATTTACTTTAATTTAATTTTGTCTTTTATATTTCATATTTATTTATTAATTTTTTTTTTGTTTTAATTCCATTTAATTTTAATTTTATTTTATTTTAATTTTTCTTCCTTTAAATTTATATTCTAGTTTTTTAAACGACCAGAGCTTCCTTCTGTCGAAAGTCGGAAAAGCTCCATCTAAAGAGCTACAAAATTGGCTTCATCTGCAGGGAGAGCTCATCACTCGCACGCGCTCAAAAATTAAAAACTCATAGACTAGATTACAGGTAATTCATTATAGTCTGGGAATAGTTCCAGACGCTGATAACTCAAGGCAAATGAAATTTCTCAACTAATTGAATTTTAATTACTTTACTTGATTACTTTTTGTTTTCCTAACTTTCCTTTACGTAATAATATTACAAATATAGTAGCGAAGCAGATTCGAATAATATTCACATTCACATATATTTTTATATTTGTTTTTTATTCATATGTATTTTATTATTGAAAGTTTTTGGCAAAAAAAGATATCCCTCGTCATCCATTATAAACCACTACAGTGTTCCTCATTTACTACACTCGCAAACACCATACCGATTACATTTACCGCTACCTTTACCGATGAAAAAGCAGTGGGCATTACAAAGAGCAGCTGACAAAGACGAAGCGCTCAGGAGATCGCAAGTTGCACGTTTCTGACGATGTAACACCAAGCCCGGCTGCTCCTGCTGCAGAGACAGATGTAGATCTTCCTCTAGTTCCAATGCGAAAGGATCAGTTGGCGCTGCGAGGAGTTCGTGAAGTAGACAAAAGAGATAAATGAGTCCCACGAGGATTTGGATTGGTTTCATTTTTAGTTTTGAATTAATTTAAGAACCGGATTTGAGAATTTAGAACTTATATTATTCGGCAGACCGTTTGCTTCAACTGTAGAACTGATGCTCTAAAATTGCTCTTCACGTTTCTTTTATACATTTGGTGCTTAGCTGATAATGTGCTGTCGATGTGGAACTTCTTGATTGTCTGGGTATACTTTTATCTGGCGCTGGGAGTCGCGTATATCGTAAACATTAATGAGCCGATTACCCAGCGAGAAAATGTAAAACGGTTTTCGGACAGAACTGAAACAAAGGGGATTGAAATTCTGTTCATGTAATGATCTAGCTTTTCGGGGAAGATGAAAGGGGAACAAGCAGAGTTTTAAACTCCTTATGATACTTACCAAGTAGGTTCTAAGCATTCGAGCAAAGCTAGGACTGAAATTTTGGACATAAGAACTGTTGATGAGGCTATAAAGTGTTGGTCACGGCAGATAGGTTTTTCTCTTAGGATCTTTATAGTGGCTAGATGAAGGTGGTTTAGAGAGTACTTGGCATATCTTAGAAGCTCTATCTCAACACCGCACCATTTGTAAACACCAATTGGTGCCGAACTATTCTCACCATCTTTTCTTCCAAAGTGGTGGATATTTTCCTCTCCCATCCATTCAGGAATATACGCCGCTGTAATTGCGGCTGTAAATCTTCCGCAAAACCTCTCTCTCAAAAACTTGTAACGTGGATCCAATAGATTTTGTCATCGTACAGGCCTTCGCACCACATAGCAGGACAGATATGGTGAGGTACTTGTTTGAGTTTAGACTTTATTCGCCAAAAGAGGAATTTACTTTTCAATTTACTTTTTAATCCTCGTTGGACTTCAAAATCTGACATTTTTGTTGGTATTATTGCTGGTTTCAAGACTATGCTTTTACTTTAAATACCAAAGTGGTAGGGGAGTCTTGAAGGCGCTGTCTGTTTGTTTGATGGCAGGAGATATTTCGTTTAACTACCTGATCCACCCCCATCTATCATATAAAAAGCCGACCCAACAGTGCGATTTCTGAGACGCTGAAATCAATATCAGTATCCAATAGCTCGAAAAGATCATGCCCGATCCTGTTGGAGCTTTTGGTTTTGCTCAATGTGAGCTATCACAGGCGTATAAATTTCGTTTAGCCGTACAGACATAGTGGCAACTCCATTTTGTGCCATCGAATGTTGCCTTAATCTCAAAAAGATGTTGTTTAGCAATACTTTTCTCGCGAGTCCTTTCCAAGAATTTACGTATGGTAAATATCTGATCCATTGTGGTTTTGTCAGTTCTGAAGCCTCACAGATAAGGCCTAGCATTATATTGACGGTGGCTTTTAATATTTGAACCAATATTGTATGCTCGTTTGGATCTTTTAGGCAATATTGGGGAGACCCATGCCAAGCTAGTTGGCGCTGATTGTGGGGTACTCCGCTCATATATGCAAACAAGCTGATTTATTTTTCAGCTCTTCGGTGCCATATTTGATTAGCTCAGCAGGTAATCGGTCGGTATGTCATCGGCATCCACTTTTCTCTTGTACATCAGACGCTCGTGTAATGGAGCATCTGCTTCACTGTCATCGATTGGGGTATCGGTTTTACCATCTTCTGTTGTATCATCTTCACTGCCATTGATCAAGATGCAAAAGTGTTTGCTACATAAACTTAATTTACTTTAGGCATTGGTCACCAGTTCTTATTTTTGGGTCTACACGTGTTGAGGTTGCTAGTAAAGCTGAGAGGTGAATAGTTTGTTTGCTTTCCATGCGAGATGAATATCCTCATGACACCAGCTCTTCTTTCAGCTTCGCCGAAAACTAATAGTTTCGGAGCAGCTCTCTTATAATGAGTTGTTGATGAGTGCTCTCAAAGGGGAAGAAAATCGGGAATAAAATCGTTCAGCTGTGTGTTGAGGTTGAAGCTTTCCGACGTCGTTCCTTACGTGTATTTTCTGTGCTGGTGGTCCACATCGGTTTTATGTATCTTGTAGTGCGCACATTTCTGAAAGGGGAACGAGCTGAGTTTCTTGCATTATGGTCGATTTGACAAAGAGTTCTTTGATGGAGTCTCTTATGTCGAAGTCTGGTTCTAAAGACAATTGCATATACATATATGGCCTAACTAGTTTAGTACTATTTGGTAGCAAGCAACTGATCAATAAGGGCATAGTTAGTAACTAGTATCAAACTGTAGGGTAAATATTCCGGTAATAGTGGACGTAAATTCAGTTCATTGCTAATGCATAATTATGGTTTTTTTTTGCAAAATATTTTCCAATATGATCAGGATATTTTGTTAAAGGAAAACAACACCTTTTCGCCCATTCTTTATAATTCAGATATATTTTTTATTAAGATTGAATTGATTTATTTGATTTGTTTTTGTTTTTTTTTTTTGTTTTGTTATTTTTGCATTTTTCTTTTGTTAATTTTTATTATTATTTTATTATTATTATTCCTATGGAGTATAATATAATATATATGAATGTATATATATATGTATATATATAAATCGATTTATCTAATAAAAAATTAAAAAACAATTTACAAACATAAATGAATTGATCTAGTTGAAACTTAATGATGCAAATGCATGTAGTGTATGTATGTATGTATGTATGTAGTTGTAACTGTAAGTCGGTATATGTATGTACTTATGTTATGGATATATGTGAAGGTTTCAATATGTGTTTGTGTGCTTGCGTGTGTATATATGTTGGTGTGGGTGTGTTGGTGTGTGTGTGTGTAAAGTAGTAAGTTGTATATATGTTGGTATGTATGGTATGTATGTTTGTATGTGTATTGTTGTTGCTTAACTTACTTAATTTAAATGTTTTCTTTAATTAAACGTATTGTATTGTATGTATGTATGCATGTATGTATGTTTATTTAAATTACGAATAATAAAAATTAGCTTTAATGCAACGATATACACTTCAGGCTGATTTTCCTTTTTATTTTTATTATTATTTTTATTTTCCTTTTTCTTTTTCAGTTTTGCTTTGCTTTCTCTTAATTATTAATTTTATTTATTTTTTTTTACGTTTTTTTTTTGTTTTCATTTATTTATCAAAGACCAACAGAATTGTATAATATATAAATATGTATATTTTATTTAATTTATTTTTTCTTTCTTTTTCTATTTTTGTTTTATTTAATCTTTGTTTATATCTATATACATATATGTATGTATACATATGCCCATATTGGCGGAAATGCATATATATTTTTAATTTAAATAAATTATTTATTTTTTTAATTTATTTAATTTATAAACATTTATGCATATTTTTTTGTTTGTTTGTTTGGTTTTATACGCGTACATGTGCATATGTATGCACATAAATAACACACACTCATATACAGCGCCGATTTACTAAGATATCAACATTCTCTTTTCGAATTCTCTTAAATATTCGCTCAGTTTTAACCTTTTTTTTTGCTTTCGAATTTTTTTTTACAACTTTCACTTTAATTATTGCTGTAATATTAAATGCTATTGGTATTTTATTAAAAAAAATAAATGAACAAATTTAAAAAATTTTATTCTTATTTATATGTATGTGTGTGTGTATATAAATAATTATGTTTGTTGTTTCATTATACATACATATGTAAAAGAAATATTTTGGATTTAAATTTGGATTTGGTAGAAGAAAATATATGCAATTATATTTATGTATGTATGTACGTAGTCTATGTGAGGTACACACATACATACATATGTACATAAATGCGTACAAAAAAGAAAGTTTCAAACGCAAATGTTGTACTTACATCCGTATATGCATGTGTGTGTATGTGTGTATATGTGTTTGAAAGTTTTTTAACATTACTGCTATTTTATTAACGGTTTTTCACCTCATTACGCATAGCGATAATAAAAAGTCAAATCATGCATTTAATTAATTGTTGTTTTATTTTATTTTTTTTTCCTCGTAATTGTTATTTTTATTAATATTTTTAATTACTTTTTACCATAATGTATGTATGTATGTACTTTAATTACTTCCGACACGTGTGTGTGCCGTCGTAGTTTCCGCTACTTACAACAACATACTTTTAATTTTATTATTTTTTATTATATACTTATATATTTATATATATATATATATATACTACCTTCATTATATATATATAAATAAATATATATATATATATATAGATATATATTTATGCATATATTATATTTATATATAAGTATGTATAAATATTAACTAATAACTAATTTTTGATGATAAACATAATTAATAATGATAATAATAATAATTGGTAATAATAGTATTTAATAAAAAAGAATTAACCATTTCACTAGTTGCACTAAAAAATCTTACAATTTACCTTTAACAGTAATATAATTTATGTGTATGTATGTATAACATTGATTTTTGTTTTTATACACATGTGTGTGTATGTATGCATGTAAATATTTCTTTAATATTTGATTTTATTTCATATTTTTTTTTAATAATTTTACTAACATATTTCACCGCTTGACACATAACCTGTGTGGTTGTATGTGTAAGTATAATATGTGGTTGTATAAATGTATGCATGTATGCATATATATGTGTGTTTTTGTGTTACTTGTATGTTTTATCATATTGCATTTATGTGTTTTTGTTTTTGTTTTTTTTTCTTTACTTATCTCTATTTTTTATATAAATTTGAATAGTATGTATGTATGTATGTATGAATGTATATGTATGCTTGTTGCTAAATATCCAACAAATTTAAGGCAAAAAAACATAAAACGAAATTTTATTTTGTTTTTGTTCTCATTTTGTGTTTTTGTTGTTTGTTTAATTTTTTTTCTCTTCTTCTTATTTTGATCAGTAAAGTTTTTCTTTTCTTTAAAATTTTTTTTCATAAATTTAATTTAATTAATTTAAATGTTTTTTTGAATACGCTCGCGGAATCGGCTTAACAAAGGAATTTCAACGTAATCAAAGTCATTGTCAATTAAAATGCAATATGTACGTGTGTTTGTTATATTAAAAAAAAAATAGAAAAAACGTATGTATAATTTAATATTTTTATTTTATGCTTTTTTGTTTTTAAGACACACTAATTATCACCGTCCTCCAAGTGTTGTTGTTTTTTTTGTTTATTTAAATTTATTTAAATTTTTTATATATTAATTTTAACTAATTTTTATAATTTTTGTTTTTCTTTTTGTGTTGTTTTTTCTTCTTAAATACCGCACT